GGGAAGCGGGGTCTCCCCATCTAGAGAGGCTCAACGGGAGTCTTTCACCATCTGCTGCTGGACATCGAGGACGGTGCCCTTCCTAGCTACTGGGAAGAGTGCAGCAGCAAACACGGACGCACAGTGTTCTCTGTGAGGGGCTTAGAGCCTGTGAATACGCACCTAGGAGCAGCATAGCCGGGTCATGTTGAAGCTGTACTTCTGGGGATGAGGATCCTCCATACCTATTCCCACAGGGGCCGCACAAGCTTACCCCATAGCTTCCCCAGTAGCATTTGCTGGCACTTTTTTTTGTTTTGTTTTGTTTTGTTTCTGAGAAGAGCCCCTCTAACTGGGGTGTAACTTTGAGGTTAAGGTTATAATTCAGAGGTAAACTATTTTACATGCCAATAAGATTGTGCACCCAGTGTTGGATTGACCCAAGAAAATCATTCTTAATTTTCTTTAATTTCAAACAAATGACCCTGATTTTATTCTTTCTCTTTTTCTGTTTTTAAATGAATGCTTCTAACAACACATTTCCTCCTGATGAAAGAAATGGATTTATACTCCTCTTTTCACCTTCTTCATCATTAACTGTGGATATTTTCCTCCAGCATCTTTTTTCATGCTTCCCTCCCCTGCCACTCTGTCCTTTGATACATGTGTTTACTTCATCAATCCAACTATGTCCTATATGTTGGGTGACTCCCAACCTCGACGCTAATGCATTTCCCCCTCATCTTTCACAGCCAGTTCTCAGCAGAACATATTACACTGAAATATTCTGTTAGCAATTTTGTCCTGACACGGCAAGATTGTCCTCATTACTGCTCCTCTAAGCTCCAGCCATCCCTGGACTTCAGTGACTAGAAATTTCTCAGGCGCTGGGGTTCGCTGGCTTCTCCTTGACAGCTCTGTCGCTACTAACCCCAGCAATTTCCCACTCTCATCATTTCTCCTTCCTCATCAGGGCATTCTCAGAGCTACTGTGTGGTCCAGCTCCTCCTCCTCCTGCCTGGACTCTGCTTACAGAAGTTTCACCGCTTGAAACAGCCTGTGACAACAACGCTGACACTTCCTGCATGCCTTCCTCGAGGTTTCCTGGGTGCTGACGCATTACGTAACTGTGAAACACCGATCAAGATTAGCATCACTATGGCCTTATTAGGAAAAACAACAGCCTTCATGCGAATTTCACCTATCTTCCTACTAATGACATGTATCTCTTATAGGCCCCCATCTTGCTTTAGTTGTCATTAGGTTTAGTTATCTAGTTTTCATTTTGTTTCTGGTGGTCCTGTGAGTCTTGCTAAGCTTGTTTACAGGAGTATGGGCAAGCAAAGGCATACTCCCTGTGGCTACACCACTGAAGCCAGTGCCCTCCTGCTTTAACCATCGACTATGTATATGTTTTTAGGAGAGCTGAGGTCCCACGAGTCTCTCCATCTTCCATGACGAGGTATTAACAGGCCCAACCTTATACTGACTTTGTGAGATTGCCAAAGCTGCTGTGAGTTCAAGAGTAGCACAGCCATGCCAGGCCAGGAAGTAGGGTTCCACACTGTTCCCTCTATTTCCTCTTGATCTGACTTTTTAAGCTTTTAGTTGGTTCTTTGTGAATTGTATACGTCGTGCACTCTGATGGCTCTCATTTCCTCCTCCCTTTCTATCTCCCCTTCACCCTTGCAACCTCCCCACAATGGGGGGGGATCTCACTGTAGAAGCTGAAGTGTGTCACACTCTTTTGTCTGCACTTTTTTTTTCCTTGCAAATGTTCATTGCCATGAGTCTTTGGTCTGGTACAAGGCCTCTAGCTTCTGCTACACTCTCAATCCTGGCACCTCGCTGGGACTCCGCTCGGATATCCCGTTGTTGCCCTGTGCCATGGTGATCTTGTAGTTTTGGATCTGTAGGACTGGCCCCTTCATCTATTCCAGCAGTCCATCGATGGGGTAGATGTTGGGGTGGGTTAATTCAAAGCCCTGGATCTGGACCTGAGGTGTATTCGAGCTGGTCAGCCCGCTAGCTGTCCCACACCCACACTGGGGGTGAGCACTTCTGCCCTGTCCTTGTTGGTCCATCCAGTGTCACAGCCAGCAAGGGGCAGCTCTCCTGCTCTCATGCCCTGGGGGCTGGCTCATCCATACCCACACCAGCAGGGCCAGCTCTACTGTGCGGCCCAGGCAAGGTACAGGGCCCATTCTCCATAGTGCTACAGCTAGTGAGGGACAAGGCCAGTTCTTCAACAGGCCTGAGTGGTGCCCAGCTGGCGGTCATCTCAAGCTGGCACCCTGTTGGGGCCCCATGGCGCAGGACTGGTGATGGTCTTGGGCTCACTCCTCAGCAGGAGACAGTCCAGTGGCCCCATGCAGGGGTCAGCTGTCTCTGACTCACTCGCTGGCTTGCTCCCAGTGGGCCGCAGGGCCCCAAGCAGGGTTGGTCTGGATGACCTGCAATAGGCTGGTGGTTGTCTCTCTCAGGCTCACTTTAATTCCAGGGAGTGTTAAGCTGCCAATCACTGAGATGTTCACAGGACAGAAGAACACTGAATGTAGACAGACCCTCTCCTCTCTGCCTCCTACTGCCGCACGTGTGACACAGCAGCCACAGGGAGAGGCTTCCAGGGGCGGGGATCTATGTCCCTTCTTCCACAAGTACTTTTGAGGCCAACTTTCAAATGGCCCCTTTGCCTCTAGTTTCCTTTCAGGTTAGTTAGCTATCACATTGTACACAGAATTTATCTGTTTGAAGGACGCAATTATTCAAGGTCCTAATCCTGCACAAAGAGCTTTGAGAGATAGCCCATTGCCTACTGCCCAATGCCTGACATTCAGGGCTGTGTGTAGTCTGGTTCCGAATCACTCATAGCTCACCCTGACCTGCCATTGTCTTTGTGTCAGCCCATGTGATGCTCTGTCTTCCCTACCTCCTGCCTTCTAATAGGAGACTCTTTGTTGCCATCATCTCCATTTCATGGAAAAATGAACCAGAGCTCTGAGAGATTCATAAGCTCCTTCAAGGTTAACAGGCCAAGCTGGTATTTACACTCAGATGGCTTTCCTTCTAAAAGCTGAGAGACCCTTGAGTGAAAGTTTAGGTCTTATTAATGTTGGCTATTTTCTCACAGAACTCAGCACAGAGACTTATACTTACAGCTTTAATATATATGAGCTAAATGGAAGCACACTGGAATACGGAACATCAGTATAAAAATATGTGAAGAGAGAATCGGAAGTTACTCATATGAATATTATTCATTTGTGAAATGATTTTGTAGTACTTATTACAAATGAATTGCTTATTAACATGGCATATTCTAAAAAAGAGAGAGAATTTGCATTTGATTCACTGGCTGGTGAGTTTTGGAAGTTAAATTGTTTATAGCCAACTGTGTGCTTTCTTGTCCAATTTCGGAGACTCAGACATTTGCAAAACAGTTCAGCTGGTGGTCTGGTAAGTAACACATGAACACTTCAGCAAAGCCTCGAAATGAGAAACAGGGAGTGAGTGTGGCAGCGAGAGCATGGCTGGGCCTGTGGGAGCTCCAGTGTAGAGGTCTCTGAAGGCTCCCTGTGAACAAGGAAAACCGGATCTGAGGCAGAAGGCCTGGGAAACGGGGCGTTTCGACAGGTGTGCCGAGAGATCTTCTGCCCTTTGTTCTGTGTGCTCTGTGTGGCAGAAATGTGGTGTGTATGTGACTGGTGGGCAGGTGGGGGCTTGGACATGGTGTGTATGTGAAACTCTGCAGCCCTGATCCCTGAGCTGTGCACTGACTAAAGCGGTGCCCACCTCTGGCATGCTGCATTTTAGTTTTCCTCGGAGAGTGCACAATCTAATTCTTGGATTTAGTTAATTGCCAAACCCCCCCCCACAGCACTGAAAAGGTGGTATTTGGGTGCTTTGCCTATTTTTCCAAGTGTGACACATTCTCACTTTAAGCTTCCTTAGGAATCACACAGTCTGTGCCTTCTGCTCCTTCTCCCTGTGGCACCTCTTAAGTACCAGCCTGCACCCAGGTGAGCAGTACAGTGACACTGGCTGGGAGGCAGGCCTGTGAAATTCATTTCACATCTGTTCAGCGGATCACTTATTTGCTTTCAATTTATTCTTTTCCCAATGAGAAATTAATTTGGGAGGTTTTTTGGCAGTGGTGATTTTAATTGACCAGAATAAAAAAAAAAATTAAAATTTACTCTTTTCTAGTGAGAATGAAAGATCTTAAGTCCCGGTTTAAATAAGATTTGGTTTTGTGCTGGAGAGAGAATAGTATGCTTCTCTTATGACCTTAGAGTTTAGAAGCATGAAATATTTTAATAACAAAATTGGATAAGTATATTCATACTCAGCCCACATACAGCTAAACCCCTTGCTTAAGCAATAGAGTGTAATTGGTGACTGTTTTCAAGGCCATAGTCTACAAATTGCAAAGAAAGGACAGACACACTTCAAGTAATGTTTTATGCCAAATTTGCCTTTGTGTAAATCTGGTACCATCCACTGGCCCTGTGTTGCTTCTCCTTTACCAATATCTGTGTGCTTATTTCCATGTGAGGCTTGATGGGAAAGGGTCCATTGGAGCTTGAGTATGGATATTAAGGGAAAGAGGTTTATTGGGCCAGAGGCTAGAGACAGAAAAAAAAAAATACATGCCATTAATTTGTCTAAGAGATTAGGGCAGAAGTTCTCAAATTCAGGTGTCCAGGGAGACCCATGAGGAGCCCAGACAGTACAGCCTACTGTAGCTGGTTGCCCCTGGCTTTATTCCTGATTTTTCCATACACTTTAGGGAAACAGCATAGGGAGGTCCAGCTAGACCAGTGCTGGAGCCTCCTCCATGCTAACGCTCTACTAACCTCCTCTCATGTGCTGGAGCATGCTGTGTGGGCTGCTGGAGCAGAACGCGCATAAGCTGTTTCAGCTTAGACTTTTGTAGGTAGGAAGACTCATTAAACATCCTGTGGGACCGTAATGGCCCAGGGAGCTTCACGCCCGGATACCTCAAAAATGAGGACAGCAGGAGCTGCCTGCCACCTCCCTCCCAACCTGGTGCCACAAAGCCAGCTCCCCCACCTTCAACCCTAGTGAGAACCCTACAGCCCCAGAGTATGCAGATGAAGCACCTTCCAGCACCCCTGCCCTGGCCAGTGGTACACAGCCACACTAACTTTGCCCCAGAGCTCCTGGCCACCCCCCAGGGTGTACCCTATTTCAGGCCAATAAACCAAACCAGTTCTCTGAAGCTGTTCCCAGGTATGTTCATTGACTGCACACTCACTGTCAACAGAAACCCTGCAATGCACTCACCTGCAATCGGCTAAGCTTCCCTCCCTCAAGTTCAGTTCAGTGGGAGACTGGCCAGGCTACCTGAGGAGGGAGCAGACACCACGAGGCAATACTCCTGTCCAGTGGGCAAAAATTGGTGCTTGAAAGTATTTCCCATGGAGTGTGGCTACCTGGGCTATATAAGCTCTGGCTGTGCCACTTGTTAAACATTTGCCCTTGGTCTTCACTCTGCCTGTCTCCTTATAGATAAATAATATACATCATGAGGTATAAATAATATAAAATAATGATACTAATGTTATCTACTTTGGAGGTTTGCTTTGATGATTGAGTCAAATTAACTCATTTGCCCTTGACATAAAGTTTGTTCTAAATGCTGAAGATTCAGTTTTGTTCATTTGTTTTTGTTTATTTATTTATTTATTTATTGCCTAATTTCAGGAAGAGGAACCTGACTTTGAAGTCTCAAATGTATTCCATTTCTATTTATTTATTCATTCAACACGTGTTTTAAGGAGCACCAACCGTACGCCACATGCTATCATGGATGCCAAAGAGGAAGGAAATAAAAAAGCAGACAATCAAACAAACAAACCAAAACCAAAACCACCCCCTAAAACACTGATAAATTATTCCCATGTGAATGAACTCGTTTGAATCTCATCACAGCTACTAAGGAGCAAGCAAAAGCTACTGAAGGACTTCCAGTGAAGTTAGCGTGGCACCAACCCACCTACAAAACCTTTGACCCCAAACTTGTTCTGCCTTCAAGAAGTATAGGGATAAAGATGGAGCCGAGGTGGAGGGAATGAACAGCCAATGACTGGGACAACCTGGGACCCACCCCATGAGGGAGAGCCCAACCCTGTCACTATCAATGATACTCTCTCTGTTTTACTTGTGGAAAGGGGGAGTCATCCAGCAGCGCATGGAAACAGAGATGCAGAGAACCATAGCCAAACTTTAGGCAGAACTTGGGGTGTCTTGCGAAAGAGTGGGAGGAAGGATTGAGGGATCCGGAGGAATCAAGGATGCCAGGAGAAGACCTACAGAGTAAACTAACCTGAGCCTATGGGGGCTCTCAGAGACTGAACCAACAACCAAAGAGCATGCATGTGCTGGACCTAGGAGCTCTACATATGTGTAGCAGATGTGCAGTTTGACCAACATGTGGGTCCTCTAATAAGGAGACTAGGGGCTGTCTCTGACTATGTTGCCTGCCTTTGGATCCCTTTTCCCTAGCTGGGCTGCCTTGTAAGGCTTCAGTGGGAGAGGATGTGCTTAGTCCTGGTGAGAGTTGATGTGCCAGGGTGAGGTGCTACCCATGGGGAGCCTGCCTTTCACTGAAGGGGGGAATGGGGAAGAGGGCGTGAGGGTGGAACTGGAAGGAGAGAAGGGAGGGGTCTTTAATCAGGCTGAAAAGTGATTAATGAATTAATTAATGAATAAAAAAGAAAAAAAGTATTAATGTAAGGAATCAAGTTGGAGAGGGATGCAAGTGAAAAGCAGGACCAGTGATGGTCTCTCTGTGTCGTCTCTTCTGGTGTCTGTTGAGCCTGGGATCACTTGCAGGAATCCAGAGACTGTAAGGTCACAGTGAAGGTGGGGAGAAAACAGGTAGGAGAGAGACAAGTGTAAGGGAGGGGTCGAGAGGCTCTTTCACCAATCAGCTCAGATCCCCCCAAACCACAGGATACAGAGGCTCTTGGTTTAACAGCCCAGAGCCACTTGTAAAGAAGTGTCCTTTCTGGGGAGGTAGAGAGGTGGCTCGTTTTCCTCACACAGAGACCCTGGGAAAGTATGTGGCATGACAAGATTCTAATGCCTCAACAAGATGGAGGGCCTGCTTCCCAAACCACGTTCTCACTTTGGTCTGTTCACAAACATTAACAGTCTAGACAAGTATTCATGTGGATTTTAATAGGGTTTCTGAAAAACTAGAACATCAAAGGGCAGAAGTTGCAAAATGGAGTCTAATTGATCACCCCACCTTCATGATGTCCCGTATAACTCTTCTCAACTGACTATATATATATATATGTGTGTGTGTGTGTGTGTGTGTGTGTGTGTGTCATTTTAAATGTGTTCAGAGAAGCTCCTGAGGGTCTGAGGGGAAATGACATGGGTTTTATTTGTTTGTTTTGTTTTGTTTTTGACATGGTGACATTTGTTCTCAGGACCCTGTGTGTAGAAAAAAGGAAAAATTGTTACCTAATGTCAACCTTCAGGTAAATGACAAAATGACATGTTTCTAGTATGACAACAACCTTCATCTGCCTTCAGGTTGTCTGTTTGCCCAGTTCTGGCTGCATTTTTCCAGTTTACTGATGTATATGCTGAAGAGACAC